TCCAAACTTTCCACAGATTTGACACTCTACTGCGTTCTGTGTTGAAGTTGAACCGCGACCAGATGGCGAACGTCCACGAGGAGGACGAGAAGAGGAGTGACCGCGGTAACCACGACCACGACCTCTTCCTCGTTGAGCTGTAAATGCCGGAATAGCCTCAGGAGAAGGGGATGAAACTGATAAATCCCGAAGAGAGTCAGCGACCAAATTAAGTTCTTCACAACATAGTAGTGAGTAGAAATCATCCAAGCTAATTGGATTCAAGTTCGTCTGTATTGCCGTTTTGAAGCCTTGGTAAGCAGGCGGCAGACCGTTCAATGTGTACATGATAATGTCATCCGAAGACAACGGTGCTCCAGCAGAACCAATAACGTCTACTTTGCTCTTAATCTCGGAGAGATACTGCATCATTGATTTATCCTTCATCGACACATGGTGCAGTTCATTCTTAAGCTGGAGAATACGTGAACGGTTTGTAGATTGCAGTCGATGTTCAATAGTCGACCATATCTCAAAACAGGAGTTGAGATCGAGAACATAAGGCAAAAATGTCGGTGATATTGTAGAGTACAGAACAGCTTCTAGATTCTGATCTATCAGCAACCAGGTTGAGTATTCGGGATTAGAAGCAATCCAGCAGCAGTCGTTATCAGTTTTGGAGGCTTAGGCGTTGATCCATCTAAGTATCCATCAAACCCATTAGCAGCAAATAACTTAAAAATCTGAGACTTCCAGAGCCGATAATTTTCCTCCGTCAACTGAATGTTCAGCACGGACTTAACATTAGTCATCAGAAATTTCAATTGCGTCGGGATGGATACTTCCGCCATTTTTGCTGTAACAGACGAAACCGCCACTTGCGGGGCTTGAGAAGACGAGGTAGATGAATGAGAAGGATCGTCCATGACGAAAGATACAGGAATGGCTGAGAGAATGATTAAAGAAGAAGATCAGGCCGTCGGGCACAGCAGCTCTGATACCATGTTGATCTTCGGTCTTCACTGCAGCTGAAACAAAATCAAGAGAAACTACATTGCAAGGTAAGGAAGAAGCAAATACAGAGCAAGCAATGGTTACTGTTTCATTGAAGCTTGATGTAATGAGATACAGGATTTATAAAGGCAAAAAGGCGCTGAAAACAACATCAGCGGCTGAGATGTACTACAGTGATCCAACGGTTGTTAAATACTGTCATAACTGGGCTCTGTACAGTAGAGCGTAGTGGGCATGTGAATTGAGCAGAGGCAGTTATAAAACGGCTGGCTTATCAGTGATCAAATACTTGACAAATTGAATCGGCATGTTAATCATGTTATAATTAATAATTAATATTAGTTGTAAGGATGAAATTAGTAATTTTTTTATCTCAAAAAATATAACTAAAATTATAAAAATATGCATCTTTCTAATTTATTAAGAATTATGAATTATTATGTTGTACTCGAAGCTTTAAAAAATGCTTGTTGAATTTAATATTATTTAACATAATATAGTTTTTTTATTTCATTCTTAATTTTTATTTTATTTTTTATTTTTTATTATATAAATATATATTTTTAATTTTTATTTAAGTTCATGTGTATTTATACTAGTAAATTAAAAGCCTTCATCATTATCCTTAAATTCATATGAATTTATTTTTTTTCTCAGGACAATAAGTTTAAAAGAGTAGCATGTGGGTGGATCTCCATTACCATGTAGCAGACAAAGCTATCTTTGTGTTTTTGGAGTTTTGTGAAAAAGCAAAAATATTAAATGGCAGAGAACTATGTTTTCTGCATGTGACGTCTTGTGGACTTTAATGTCATCAATTCATTGAAGGCATGCGCTTGTGCTTGCAAAATAAAAAAACTTATTACTGATGAAATTTTAAACTCAGGGTAATCAAACTCATCCAAAATATTAATTTAGATTATTAAAATGAATTCACTTGATCTAATTCAATCACATAAGACTAATTTAAACCAAATTGATTTTGACTAAATCAAATTTATTTCAAATTAGTTAATTAAATTTGGCCATTTTCAATATTAGCACTTTCATCTCTCTCCAATTTGTGAATCAATGTTCAATTAATAGTTTGGAGAATGATTTTTTTTGTAGGATCTTCACTCCTTATTGAAACCAAATAATTCATCATGATATGATATGAAGGTACATTCGTCAGTCATATTCTTAGAAGCGCATACATTTAATTTTCTTAGAAGCGCATACATTTAATTATTTTGACTTAATTTGCATTCATAATAAGGAGTGAAACAACCAAGCAATGAGCAAGCAAACAAGATGAAGAAGGCTTGGTAACTAGCGTGGTTAAATCCATGGCAAATTGGCAATTCACTATGCAAATGCTTATCTAGATATTGAACTAAAGATTAGAATAAGAACAATTTAGGCTTCGTTTGGGACGGCTTTTTTACTATTTTCTAAAACGGAATTTTAGTACAAATTTTTTTATTTTTGTACTAAAACTCCGTTTTAGAAAGCAATAAAAAAGCCGTCCCAAATGAAGCCTTAGTCTCATTAGTCTCATCATGAAAAATATTCATTCTTGAAGCTTCAAGGCATTCCAAAAATCAGGTTTTCTAAAATGAATTTTTAAAAAAATAAAACATTTTTACTTCAAAAAAAAATTTATATTTTAAGACTGATTTAGAAAGTAATAATATCTGACAGCTTAGGTTTTATTTGAGTTTAAAGTAGCTTTTTTAGAGCAAAAATTTTTTTAAATAATTTTTTTTTTCTAAAAAGTAAGAACTGCTTTAGGTAGGAACTTGGAAGCACTAAAAAACTATCCAAATGTGAGTTTACTTGACTTGAAGTTAAGGTTTATCGTTTATTCGACGCCACATTTGACCATGACTAGTTGGACTTCTTTGGCGCTATTCACGTCTTCGGTAAGCTGTCGGATTTCAAAGGAACGATTGAGATGAAGGGTGGAAGGATTTCTCTTATCTTAAATAGGGTTTCCCTTTTGTAAAGATTGCTCACATTCCAAATATCCATATTTCTACCAAATATTAGGTCCAACTACTTTCTTCCTATCTTATTTATTTGATATATGAAATGTGAAGAATGCAATCTCGGCATTAACCAATTTGTATAATTTGATGTACTCAATTTTATTTATGTATCACTTCATGGTCCTTTTATATCTATAAATATATTTTTCTTTTAATATTTCGTTTTATATGTCGTTAAATTCCAGATTTCGATCATTTACAACTGAAATCTATATAGAAAAAAAAATCAACTCTTCGTTTTTTTTTTCCTTAATGATAACTTCTAGTTCTGGGAAAATTTTAAATTTCTAATTTGGCTGAAATTTTTTACATTCTCTTATTTAAATTATTTTTATTGCTCATTTTTCATTTCCTAGATAAAAATATTGCAGGTATTAATTTGACTATTTAAGATTTTTATTAATAATGAACTTGTTATTTATAATATATGATAGTAAATTATTAGTTGCTAAATTTTGAGCTTAATTGATTATTATCACTTATAAAAATTTTCTTTTCTTATATAAGAATGTACATAATTTTTTTATTATCACTTAACACTTGTTAAGTTTTATTATATATATATATATATAATTTTTAAAACTTTTACAATACCATAAAATAAATCATAAAAAAAATATGCATTAGATCAACAACTTATCTTTTTTCTCAACAAACTAATTATTAATAACAAACGAGCATGATTATGAAAATAAATAAACAAGCTTCAACTTCTTTATTTATTGATAATTTTTTTTTAAAATTTTGTTCAAATTTATTTAATATATAAATAAACAAACATTGTATAAACAAACATCAAATTACTCATCAAATGTATATTTGCATAGTCCTACAGATATTAGACGGTTTAATTAGTCAGAATAAGAAATGCCAAATTACAATCTTGAAGGATTTTTAGCATTTATTAGTCCCACAAACATAATTCTAACAAACATTACGACTAAGATTTTAGTAAAAAATTCAAAAATTATGTTAAATTGGGCCATCTATTGAAAGCAACAAATAGATTACTAATTTTAGTTATTATTTATTATCCCGCTCTTTTAAAAAAATTATTGGCGCTATTGATGTCCGTCAGATTTCAAAGGAACGGTTGAGATGAAGGATGTAAGGATTTCCCTTATCTTAACCAGCAGGATACGTCGTGAGCCGGTAGACTATCCAATCTGCATCTCTTCCAATCGAATCTCCATTTTTTCTTACTCTTCAGTTGTTCTGCTCTACACCGATCGTCGTTGCCATGGCGGATATGGTTCTTGATCTAATTATGGAGAAGATCATCAGCGCTGGCTTCCGTTACCTGAAAGATCAAGTCAGATGGCAGACAGGCATGAAGGAGGAGCTGGATAAGCTGCAAGAGATTCTCCCCCAGATCCAAGCTGTCGTCCACTTTGCTTCCAGCCAAGAGCAGATCACTGACCAAAATCCGCATCTTAACAAATGGCTATGGCAGCTACGAGATGCCATTGATGATGCATATGACGTGGTTGATGAGCTGGAGTACATGGAACTTGAAGAACAGGTGACCAAAAACAAGAAGCTAAGAAAGGTGCGTTCCATCATGAAATCCATGAAGAAAAGACTAGTCAAAATTGGCAAACGTGCTTTCAAAATTGATCCCACCTTGAAGCGACTGGAGGAGGCTATGCAGAAACTGTAGGAAGAGAGAAAGGAACAGGGAATGCTAACGAAGCAGTAAAGAATAAGAGTATATTATTAATTAAGCAGAGATACAGTTGTCCTTATATAGGCTAAAGAGAGGGAAAATAGTAAGTACAAGCGGAGCACAATAAGATAACTTGTACATGCTAATATCCTCCCGCAAATTAATAATTCATACTGTGAATTATTAATTTGGAGCGAAGATCGTTGAACCTAGCCGGAGCAAATGGTTTGGTCAAGATGTCCGCCACTTGATCTTTGGAGGAAATGTGATGAATTTGTATATTGGCATTGCTAAGATGTTCCCGGATGAAATGGTAGTCAATTTCGATGTGCTTGGTTCTTGCGTGGAATACCGGATTCTTGGCAATAGCAATAGCAGATTGGTTGTCACAGTAAATTGGCGTTGGTTGGTGCTGCGGTAGGTGAAGTTCGGACGCTAGACGGCGGAGCCAAATGACGTCCGAAGTGGCTGCGGAGAGTGATCGATATTCAGCTTCGGTCGAAGACTTGGCGACGGTGATCTGTTTCTTGACTGACCAGGAGATGAGGTTAGGTCCGAGGAAGGTGCAGAACCCGGAGATGGACTTGCGGTCCGATTTGTCTGATGCCCAATCCGCATCAGTGTAGGTACGAAGTTGTAGGTCGCCAGTGGTGATCGGAAGACCGTATGAGACGGTCCCTTTGATGTATCGGAGAAGCCGGGTGAGAGATAGATAGTCATGATCGGAAGGATCCTTCATGTGCTGGCATATTTGGTTTGTGGCGAAGGCAATGTCTGGGCGTGTAATGGAGAGATATTGAAGCGATCCTGCAATGCGGCGATAGAGTGTGGGGTCGTGGAAGGGACGAGTTCCGTCTGATGTTGGAGTTGAAGTGGGCGAGAGCGGCGTCAGCACGTCTTTGCAATCAGCGAAACCGGCGTCATTCAGGATCTTCCGTGCGAAATGAGCCTGAGATAAGAAGTATCCTGTTTGTGTGTGATGCACTTGGATGCCCAGGAAAAGCGAGATCGGACCCATTTGTTTTAGAGCGAAGTTGCAGTTGAGATCATTTAGTAGGTTCTGGACGGCTGTTTGATCATTTCCTGTGACGAGGATATCATCGACGTAAATTAGAAAATAGATATGAATGTGATTGTTAGTAAAAATGAGAGCGGAGCGACTAAACCGGAATCCCCTAGTTTGCAGGAAAGAAGTGAGCTTTTGGAACCACTGTCGAGGGGCCTACTTGAGGCCGTATAAAGACTTGTGGAGTTTGCAGACAAGATCCGGAGACTTGAGGTCGGCGAATCCAGGTGGTTGGCACATGTAGATGTTGTCGGGTAAGTCACCATGAAGAAAGGCGTTTGATACGTCTAATTGTTGTACAGACCATTTCCGGTTTATAGCAATGGCTAGAAGTAAACGGATGGTGGGCATTTTTGCAACAGGGCTGAACGTTTCATTGTAATTTTCACCCTGCCGTTGGTCGTAGCCTAAGGCGACGAGTCTTGCTTTGTAACGTTCTATTTGACCGTTTGGAAGAATTTTGGTTTTGAAGGTCCACTTGCAGCCGAGTATGTTTTTGTTCGGTGGTTTAGGGACAAGCGTCCAGGTCCGCTGTTTCTGAAGTGCGGTAAGCTCGTCTTTCATAGCCGAATGCCAGTGTGGGATTTTTATGGCCTGTCTGTAGGAGGTAGGGGTGGTTGTTGTTGCGGTGTTGCTGTGGAGCGAGTAGATGGGGTTGGGTTTTGAAATACCTGACTTGGATCTTGTTTGCATCGGGTGACTGGGACGGTCAGGTAGAGTGGGAGGTCTGTTGAAACTTAGATTATTGGAGGAGAGGTTTGCTGGAGCAGGTTGGTTGGTAATGTGACTAGTGGGATTGTGTGTTTGCTAACTTTGGACAGAGGTTGTAATGGGAATATGAGTTGGAGGAGTGATAGTTGACGTGGGGATGAGAAGAGAGGGAGGTGTTCTTTGGGGGCCGAGAGGTGTAGTCGAATTGTGAGGATGAGGTGAAGATTGAAATTGGAAGATGTGCTCGTGAAACACTACATGCCTGGAGATGTGAGTTTGATTTGTGGATAAGTTGTAACATCGGTATCCTTTGTGTTGGGTCGAGTAACCGAGGAAAACGCAATCGGTGGAACGAGGATGAAGTTTGTTGTGGTTGTAGGGCTGAAGCCAAGGGTAGCAAAGGCTACCGAAAATGCGAAGGTGATCATAAGCCGGTGGTTTTTGGTAAAGACGTTGAAATGGAGAAAGAGATGCTGTCGTTGTGGAGGGCAGCCGGTTGATAAGGTAAGTGGCGGTGGCAATGGTTTCTGGCCAGAATTGTTGAGGGACATTTGAGTCGTGTAGAAGAGCCCTGGTGACATCAAGAATGTGGCGATGCTTCCTTTCGGCGAGGCCGTTCTGTTCTGGAGTGTGGGGGCAGCTGATGCGATGTCGTATGCCACGGTTTTGAAGAAAATTGGTGAATTCGGTACCGGTATACTCGCCTCCACCGTCGGATTGCAGTGCTTTGAGGTTAGTAGAAAATTGCGTTTGAATCATATTACATAAAATTTGAAATTTAGAAAATGTTTCATTTTTAGTACGCAAAAAATAGATCCAAGTAAATCTAGTATAGTCGTCAGTAAAAAGAACATAGTAGCGAAAACCCATCGTAGAAGGTGTCGGCGACGATCCCCACACGTCCGAATGTATAATTTCGAACGGTGAGGATGTGGCCGAGGTTCGTGGGCTAAAAGAAAGTTTGTGGCTCTTGGCCACATTACAAGAAGTACAAAGAAAATGTGAGGTAGTAGGCGTCGGTGCTGGCAGAGCTTTAGCCATGTGGTTGAGAAGCTGCCGATGTGGATGTCCAAGACGCGCATGCCACAAGTAGGAGGGAGCCACGGTGGTGTGCATAGCTTGTGGTGGTGCGTCAGCATCGGTATGAATGTAGTAAAGACCGTTATGGAGACGGCCACGTAGAAGCGGTCGAAGATCATGGGAATCCTTAATTTCGAAGCCGTTAGAGTCAAAAGTTATGGAGATGGAATTGTCACGGGTTAGCTTAGAAACCGAAATCAGATTGTGGGTTAGAGAGGGAACATGCAAGATATTACGTAAATGTAGCTTACGAGGAGTATCGGGAAGCGGAAGAAGACCCTGTCCGGTGTTCTGAATGGAAGCAGAGGAACCATTTGCTACCGAAACAGATGATGAGCCATGGTAGGCGGTCGGTTGCTGAATGTTGTTGTTGTCTGGTGTGAGGTGTTCCGATGCACCGGTGTCGAGAACCCAGTCTTGGGTTGGGTATGAAACGGTGTTGGTAAGCATAGCACGGGGTGTGGTGGCTGTTGTAGGAGCGTATTTGAAGTTGCAGCGGTGCCAGCAGTTAAGAGCAATGTGACCATTCTTCCCGCAGATTTGGCAGTTGAGGCGTTGCGAACTCGAGTTGTTGGCTAAAGTCGGAGAAGGATTGGGTGCAGATGGTGGGTACAGGTTGTTCTTGAAGTTCTTGGGCGGGCGACGGTTTGTCCGACCGCGTTGTTGGTTGTGCAAAGTCGCGTAGAGAGCGGACGGATCGGTGGAATTATTGTGGTGATGTTCTTGATTGATGTAGATTTCTTCGCTGCAAAGTAGCGAATATAGCGAATCTAGATCGGATGGTGTCTGGGAGTTCCGGATGAAGGTTTTGAAGGGGTTGTAAGCAGCAGGTAGACCGTTAAGGGTGTAGAGCATGATGTCTTCGGGATCGAGTTTGGAGCCGGAGGCGGCAATGCTGTCGACGAGAGTCTTGACTTGCGTGAGATATTGTTGCATGGATGAATTCTTCATTTGTAGATTGTGAAGTTCGTTCTTGAGTTGAAGAACTCGAGAGCGACAAGTCGATTGAAGCCTTCGTTCAAGAATCGACCAAACTTCGAAGGCGGAGGTGGCGGTGATGATATATGGTAGGATGGAGGGGGAGATGGTAGAGAAAAGGGCCGAAATCAGCGTGCTGTCAACAAGTTTCCAGGCGGCGTGCGCTGCGGGTTGATCGGCCGGTGGGGAAGGGTTGTCTCCGGTGAGATAGCTCAGGTAGCCTGTAGCCGTGAACTGCTGGAGAATTTGGGTTCTCCATATGGGGTAATTTTCGGTAGTGAGAGGATGAGGAAGCAAATTCTTGATGTTGGTGACAAGAAATTTCAGGGATGCCGGAATGACTGGATCGGTGGGGCAGTTTCCGGCGAGAGCGGTGGAGGAGGGAGGGAGAGAGGAGGCTGAATCTTGATCTCCCATCAAGTAGCTCTTGATACCATGTAGGAAGAGAGAAAGGAACAGGGAATGCTAACGAAGCAGTAAAGAATAAGAGTATATTATTAATTAAGCAGAGATACAGTTGTCCTTATATAGGCTAAAGAGAGGGAAAATAGTAAGTACAAGCGGAGCACAACAAGATAACTTGTACATGCTAATAGAAACTTCATAAAGTTTCAACAACTGGTGTTGATGCTTTCCTTCATCTTGTAAAACACGCAAAGAAGGAGCTTCAGAAGCAACAGCTTGAGCTGCACGGAACACGTGAAACGGGATCCTTGCCTAAAAATGATCTCATTGGGCGTGGCAAGGAGAAGGAGCTTGTTATGGAGTGGCTGAGGAATCCATCAAATGAGCATCGGGGAACTGATTTGTACAGAAACATTTCTCTTCTATCTATAGTGGGCCACGGTGGTATGGGGAAGACAACTCTCTTGCAACATGCTTATAAAGATGATATTACAAAGGACTTTGATCGTAAAATGTGGGTTTGTGTTTCCAACAACTTTGATGTGAAAAAAGTCATTGCTGATATGTTGGAATGTTTTAAGAATGAGAGGCCTCGTTTGGAGTCACTTGGGGCACTTCAAAGGCGTCTCGAGGAGGAGGTGAAGTCCAAAAAGTTCTTACTTGTGCTGGATGATATTTGGGAGGAGGATGAGGATAAGGATAAAATCAAATGGGAGGATGTGCTAGCCCCTTTATCTTCTGGGGGTTTTGGTAGTAAGATTATGGTAACAACTCGAACGGACGCAGTTGCACTGATGTTTGCAAAGGTAATTAAAAAGAAGAAGGAAATAATTAAATTAGAGGGCCTAGATGAAGATGAGTGTTTGCAGCTCCTCAACTCTCATGCATTTGCTGGTGTAGAGAACCACCCTGATGATCATGAAAATTTAAGAGTCATTGCTCGAGATATAGTTAAAAAGCTTTCAAGATCTCCCTTGGCAGCTAAGGTCATTGGTGGTGTTCTGAATGACAACTTGGATGAAAGGCATTGGAGGACAGTTCTAGAAAGCAATTTATTGGATCAGAATTCTATCCATTCCATCTTAAGACTGAGCTATATAGTTCTACCAAATCATCTACAAAATTGTTTTGCATTTTGTTGTATGTTCCCAGAAGATCATGAGTTTGATAAAGATGATTTAGTCCGAATGTGGATTGCATTGGGTTTCATTCATCCGTCTCAAGGAATGACTATGGAGGATATCGGAGGAAGGTATTTTGATGTATTAGTCAAAAAAGCTTTATTTGACAAGGTCGAAGATGACTACAAGATGCATGATTTAATACATGAGTCAGCATCTAAATTTTTTGCACAGGAATGTGGTAAACTTGTGGATGATGAAGAGTCATCTCTCAAAATTTCTGAGACTATTCGACACTTGTCTGTTAGAACTACAAATCCAAACATCTTAAGAAAGATTGAGAAGTTTAAACATTTGCATTCTCTTTTCTTTTTCTATAAAAATTCTAATGAGCAAGATCTTTGCAGTGGACTTATTGAAATATTCAAATCATTGAGAAGCCTACGCTTATTATACATGCGTGCATATGATCAATTGGAAATGATACCTGAGGAGATTAGGTATTTGAAACATCTCCGATATTTCAAGACCGAAGGACTTGAATTCACTAGGCTCCCAAGATCTCTAAGTAATCTCTATCTCTTGCGGTACATAATCTTAGATACATGGATGTTAATCGTACCTGAAGATGATTTTTTACCAAGCGACATTAATAACCTTTCTAACTTGCGTTACATGAAATTGCCCAAGAATTATAATTTATGGATATTAGGGATTAGGAAGCTTAAATCTCTTCAAAAATTGGATATGTTTTATCTTAGAAATGAGAAGGGTTATAGAATTGATGAGTTGAAGCATTTGAATGATCTTTGCAAATTAGGAATAAACTGTCTTGAATATGTGAAGGACGTCGAGGAGGCTCGTAATGCCCAATTATGTGAAAAGAGGAGGCTCACAGATTTAACCTTATGTTGGAATACCACTTATTCGAGGAACACCGATTTAGATGAGAACGTGCTCGACAACCTTCAGCCACCAAAATGTCTAAGGAATTTGAGCATAGAGAGATACATGGGTGTAAGGTCTGCAATATGGATGAACAATGTCAATCTGCTCTCCAATCTAGAGAAAATCGATTTGTCAAGGTGCATGGAATGGGAAACTCTTCCACCTTTCGGGCAACTTCCCTTCCTCAAGAATCTAAAACTTCATGACATGCCAAAAGTAAAATGGCTTGAAAGTAAATTTAATGGGAATGATAAATACCGTGCATTTCCATTGCTAGAGAACTTATATATTGAGGGATTAGAAGCATTAGAGGATTGGTTTGAGGCAGGAGTAGCTGCTGAAGATGGATGTTTCTTTCCTTGCTTAATTCAACTGATGCTATCTAACTGTCCGATGTTGAAAGAGTTGCCCTCTTTGCCTCCTAAGCTCAAGAACTTGAGGATATGTAGAATTGGGTGGACGACTTTGAATTTTTGTAGCAATTCAAATCCTATTCCCCTTGAAACATTAAAGGTCATTGATTGTCCTAATATTACATCTCTTCCTCTGGCTGATGAAATAGCAAGACTTGCAGCACTAACAGTCTTGACAATTAGAAATTGCCACAATCTGATCTCACTCGGAAGATATCGAGAAGTGGAGACCACTAATAATTGCCTTCTCATACTCAGCATTCTTCGTATAAGTGATCCATCGGTGTTGCTAATGGAGCCATTGAGAAGTATCGCCTTCTTAAAAGAACTGAGTATTTCATTAAATTATAAGCTGGTTTCATTTCCAAATGAGGCGGAGGAGTGGTTTCTGAATATTAGGTCATCTCTTTGTAAGCTGAAATTTAAATGGCTCAAGTCCTTACAGGCTCTCCCTTCCTTCTTGGAAAGCTTATCTTCACTTCAGGAACTATATATTGCGGATGTTTGGATGCTTCGGGAATTGCCGAATCTTCCTCCCTCTTTGAAACGTCTAATAATCATTGGGGATGGTCATCAAAGGTTGAAGGAGCGCTATGGAGAGGATGGAGGCTCGGATCGGCACAAGATTGCTCACATTCCTCAAATCGATATTCGTCCCCGATAAGCAAACTCCTTTCTTCTTATCTTATATGTTTGATATATATGAAAGGTGAAGAATGCATAATATTTCAGCATGAACCAGTTGTTTGTATCACTTGATCGATGTACCCAATTTTATTTATGTATCACTTGCTGGTTCTTTTATATATGTAAATATATTTTTCTTTAAGCTTGATTCCTGATTTTTTGTTTGATATGAAATGTGAAGAATGCAATCTCGGCATTAACCACTTTGTATTTGTTGCAATCTCCAACTCCTCTTGCAATCCTGGACACCTGCAAGGAAAAACAGAGCAAGCACAAAGAACAAAGCCAACGCCGGACAATGCCTGAAACCTGTATATTCAAGTGTTTGTATTGAAGTTCAGTAACGAGGTATCAAAATGATCAATAGCTGCTTTCTCCCCGCCATACTCGGCTATTTCTACTTTCTAGAATACTAAAAAAAAAAGGTTGCTATAAATGAAATTGACAAAAATAAAAACTAGCGGTAACTAAAATCAGTAAAGCATAGTGGCTGTCAGAAGCCGTTAGGGTGGCATAAGATGTCTCGCGTCTCCTCCGCACAATCGTGCACTGCATCAGTATTTGTTATATATATATATATGAAAGGTGAAGAATGCATAATATTTCAACATGAACCAGTTGTTTGTATCACTTGATTCATGTACTCTATTTTATTTATGTATCACTTGGTGGTCCTAATATTTTGTTTGATATGAAATGTCTTCGTTCTGATGGAGGCAGGTAGTACTTAAACACAAACTTCAGAACTTTTCTCACTCAATAAGGCATTTCTCACCAAACTTCATGTCCCTACACGTCCGAACAAAATGGTCTTGCAAAGCGTAAACACAGACTTCTCCTTGAAATCTTACGACAGTGCCTCACTTCCTCATTCATTTTGGCCTGATGCTGTCCTAATGGCGTCCTATCTTATTAACCGTCTACCAGCTGCCACAACAAATTTTAATTCTCATCTTTATCTTTTGTTCAACAAAACCCTGACTACAAGTTTTTAAAAGTTTTTAGGTGTGCCTGTTATCCTTGGATCCCGTCGAATCAACGAAATAAATTGGAACCAAGATCTCGATCCTATGTTTTTCTTTGGTTAGTCACATATCTCTAAACGCTATAAGTGCCTCGATCCTGCAACCAACAAAATATTCATCTCAAGACATGTCTTCTTTGATGAAATCACATTCCCTTTCAAACATATCTCTCCAAACCCATCACAGATATCTTCCACTCTTCCTCCATCCCTTCTTGTTCCGGTTTCTAGTACTTCACATAACAATAAGACTTCAAACTCCTATAAGCCTCAACACAATTCTGTCAATCCCACGCAACTACCTCAGCAGTCTACTCCAGAATACAATCAGAGAAACTCTTCTACTCTAACTCCTATATCCCATCTTGCATCGCCTACTTCAACTGCTCCCACACATATGCCTATCGCTATTACCAACAGTCAAACCAATTCTACTCATCCTATGACCACCCGAACCAAAACTGGTTCCCTCAAATCAATACAATGTCTCAACCTGCCTCATACTCACAACTCCTCGCAGTCTTTATACATGCCAGAACCAACAACGTATAATAAAGCTAGTCAAAACCTCACTAGCGACGAGCTATGGCAGAGAAATTCTATGCCTTACAAAAACAAGGCATTTGGGAGCTTGTACCAACTCCTAAAGATCTGCCTGTCCTTGACAGTCGTTGGACATTCCGCACAAAACATAAATCTGATGGTACAATTGCAAGGTTCAAAGCTCGCCTAGTTGCTCAAGGCAATCATCAACAATACGGAATAAATTACCTAGAGACATTTAGTCCGGTAGCCAAGTTTCTAACTATACGAATTTTGCTAACTTCTGGTATTTCTAATGATTAGCCTGTGCATCAGCTGTATGTGACGAATGCTTTCTTACATGGTACTCTTGATGAGGCCATTTGCATGAAACAGCCGAAAGGCTTTGAAGATGACACTCACCCCGACCATATATGTAAACTCAAGAAAGCAATTTACAGACTTAAACAAGCTTCTTGGCAATGATTTAATACCTTCTCAAAGTTTCTATGCACTCTTGGGTTCATTTCGGGCAAAGTAGACTCGTCCTTATTTGTTCTTCACAAGGGAAACATTCATCTATACATAGTTATATACGGGGATGATATATTACTAACAGGCAATGATTCTTCTATGATTGCAACCGTTCTTTCTCAGCTGCACAACAAATTCGACATGAAAAATCTTGGGATGGCCAGCAGCTTCTTGGGAATTCATATCAGCTCGGTGAATAATACCTATATATGTGCTGTCACAAACGAATTATGCTGCATCGATTTTAAACATGGCTGGTATGACCAATTGTAAGGCATTGGCTAACCGTCCTGTACCAAAGTCCAAGATCACAGCAATGAAGAAACTTTACCAACAGATCCCAAGCTATCCAGACAGCTCACAGGATCCTTGCAATATCTTACCATAACTAGACCGGATATATCCTTTGCGGTTAATCTATTATTCCAACATATGCATAATTTGAATCCACAACATTTTTATCTACTCTATAGATTACTTTGTTACATAAAAGGCACATTATCACTTGGTCTTCATATTTTGCAGGGTCCAATGGAACTACACTCTTATTCGGATGTTAATTTGGCTAGAGACAAAGAAACACAACGATCTACATCCAGTCATTGTACGTTCTTGGGCAATACACTCATCTCTTGGAGCGTCAAAAAGCAGCACACTGTAGCACGCTCTTCGACAGAAGCTGAATTCCAATCCATTGCTACATATCTTGCCGACATAATATGGCTCAAATGTCTACTTGACTTCAACATTCAATTAAAATTTCTTATATTCTCTTATTTAAAATATTTTCACTGTTAACTTTTGAATTTATTATCTTAGATAAAAATTACAATTATTAACTTTGTTATTGATATAATAAGTACATGGAGAAGAAGATATATATATATATA